CCATCCCCACAGACAGATCCCAAATCCCCTCCCATCCCCACAGACAGATCCCAAATCCCCTCCCATCCCCACAGACAGATCCCAAATCCCCTCCCCGGATCCCAGCAGCAGCCCCTCACCCCCAGGTTTCCATGGCTCCCGGAGCATCGCTCTGTGTTCATCTCCTCCCTTCCAGAACCTTCCCAACTTCCCCATCCCGTGCACGTGGATCCATCCAGAGCATGGAAAACACACCTGGAGCACCTGACACCCCCCCAACCCCCAGGAGGAGCTTCCCCAGGAACCTTCCCCACCTCTGCTGCACCCAGGCTGTGACAGAAAACTCCAAAATCCACCCTGAGCCACCAAACTCCCCTTCCACACCCCTCCCCTCCGCGCTTTTCTCGTCCAAAATTCAAATTATTTGACTCACACCACCCCTGCTCACACCAGCCCCACCCCAGCCCTGCCTGGGACCATCAGGAGATGTTTTTGGAACACCCCAAACTGGAGATCCACGGGGCAGCTCTTGCTTTTGGGGTGCTCCAGCTCCAAAATCCACCCTGAGCCACCAAACTCCACTTCCACACCCCTCCCCTCCGCGCTTTTCTCGTCCAAAATTCAAATTATTTGACTCACACCACCCCACCCCAACCCTGGCTGGGAACACCAGATGTTTTTGGAACACCCCAAACTGGAGACCCACACCAAATCCAAACAATTCTGACAAAATTATTGGGTTTTTTTTTTTGATTTCTCTGTGAAGAGCTCACCCCAAGTCCAAACAATTCTGAGAAAATTATTGTTTTTTTAATTTCTCTGAAGTTCACCCCAGACCCCAAGAATTCTGACCAATTGGTTTTTTGGCTGCTTTCTCTGTGAAGAAGTTCATCCCAAACCCAAACAATTCTGCAAAATTATTGTTTGATTTCTCTGAAGAAGTTCACCCCAGACCCAAACAATTCTGACAAAATTATTGTTTGATTTCTCTGAAGTTCACCCCAGACCCAAACAATTCTGACAAAATGGTTTTTGGCTGCTTCCTCTGTGAAGAAGTTCATCCTAGACCCAAACAATTCTGACAAAATTATTGTTTGTTTGATTTCTCTGAAGTTCACCCCAGATCCAAACAATTCTGACAAAATTATTGTTTGATTTCTCTGTGAAGAGCTCACCCCAGATCCAAAGAATTCTGACAAAATTTCTTCAGAGAAATTGTTTGATTTCTCTGAAGTTCACCCCAGATCCAAAGAATTCTGACAAAACGTTTTTTTGTTTTATTTCTCTGTGAAAAGCTCACCCCAAATCCAAACAATTCTGGCAAGATTATTGTTTGATTTCTCTGAAGAAGTTCACCCCAAATCCAAACAATTCTGACAAAATTATTGTTTGATTTCTCCAAAGTTCACCCCAGACCCAAACAAACAAATTAAAGCATTTCCAACAAAAGCTTAAATACATTCCCAAATAATTCCCAAACCCCTCAGCTGGAGGCACATAATTCCAATTCCCACCTAAGCAAACCTCACCCCAGTGTGGCAGAAAACTGGAAGGGATTTCCTGGGAAATCCTTTCCAAAGGTCAGGAGGTCACAGCTGAATTTTCTCACCCCTTTTTTCCTTCCTGGCAGCAATTTCTTCCTAATACACATCGATATAATCTCATTATCAGCTTAATGTCAGCTCAGCTCTGCCCAAAATTCTCACAGCCAAGAGCTCCCAAATTTACTCTTGTCCTCATCCTCAAATTCCTGCCAGGTTCCTACTGCCCACACAGCTACAACAAAGAAAAACACACACAAAAAAAAAAACCAAACCCAAAATAAAAGGTCAATTACCAGCAAACAAACTGTCTGTAGTCGGAAAAATCCCTAAATTTCCATTTTTTTTCAGGGCTGCTAATGGCAGCACTGATCAAAGGCTGATTAAATTAATTATCTTGCTTCCTGGGCAAGGTTGGGAGCACTTGGAACATCCTTTGCCTCAAAGCTGAACCACATTTGGAAATTTTTGCAGGCCAGGAATGCAAGGAGTGTTTTTAAAAAAAAACATTCCGGATGTGTTATTTTTTTTGGGAAAAAAAAAAAAAAAAAAAAAGGAGACTGAATTGCTTTCACTCTCTAGGAAACATCCACTAATCCACTGGAGAAATAGGTGTGTCTGAGCCCTAAAAGTGGATTAATTGAGGATTTTGGCTTCTTTGGCCACCAAGAACAGCAGGCAGCAGCCACATGCAAGGATCAATCCTCCATCATAAACCAGGGAGAAGTTTCCAGAGAAAACACAGGGATGGAATGAAGGAATTCCCAGCACAGACACCCCCAAGTGACCCTCTCCAACCTGGCCATGGAGAAACTGAGGCCCTTTTGGGACAAATTGCTCATTTTTGGGGGGTGGAGATGGGCACACATTGTGCAGGTGAGGCACTGTCCCCTCTGGGTTGTGACAATCCCTCCCTGGCACAGCCACAGGGACAATTTGGGGGTTGGCACAGGGGCTGGGGGTGCCAAATCCGTGTGCCCACCAGTGCCACGGCAACATCACCCAAAAATGCATCAGTGCCCCTGCCCGGTCCTGGGAAAAAAGGTGTGGGAAAGGTGCCAGGGGTGGGGACAGTGGCGGGGTCACCCCGACATGGGGGTCCCCAAAACCAGCAGAAAAGGGAGCAGAGAGAGCTGGGAGGGGCTGGGACAGGGGTGGGGACACTGGCAGGGACACCCCGACATGGGGGTCCCCAAAACCAGCAGAAAAGGGAGCAGAGAGTGGGGCTGGGACAGGGGTGGGGACACTGGGAATAAGGGACACCCCGACATGGGAGTCCCCAAAGAGCCTGGGGACACAAAACCAGCAGAAAAGGGAGCAGAGAGCAGGGAAGGGGTAGGGCAGGGGTGGAGACATTGGGAATAAGGGACACCCCGAGCTGGGGGTCCCCAAAACCAGCAAAAAAGGGAGCAGAGAGGGCAGGGAGGGGCTGGGACAGGGGTGGGGACACTGGGAATAAGGGACACCCCGACTTGGGGGTCCCCAAAACCAGCAGAGAGGGCAGGGAGGGGCTGGGACAGGGGTGGAGACATTGGGAATAAGGGACACCCCGACATGGGGGTCCCCAAATCCAGCAGAAAAGGCAGCAGAGAGTGGGGCTGGAACAGGGGTGGGGACACTGGCAGGGACACTCCAACATGGGGGTCCCCAAATCCAGCAGAAAAGGGAGCAGAGAGGGCAGGGAGAGGCTGGGACAGGGGTGGGGACACTGGGAATAAGGGACACCCCGACTTGGGGGTCCCCAAAACCAGCAGAGCCCAGGGAGGGGGTAGGACAGGGGTGGGGACACTGGGAATAAGGGACACCCCGACATGGGGGTCCCCAAAACCAGCAAAAAATGGAGCAGAGAGATCAGGGAGGGGCTGGGACAGGGGTGGGATGGGGAGGGAGGGAGGGAAGGCTGGGATTCAGCAGGGATGAGGGGAAAATGCTGCTCTGGAGGAGAGGGAAAAGGCCTGGGAAGGGTCAGGTGTGAGGGGGTCAGGCATTGCTGAGGGGAATGAGGGGGGATGGAGGGGGACATGGGAATGAGGGGAATGAGGGGAATGAAGGGGATAAGGGAATGAGGGGAACCAGGGGGATGAGGTGAATGAAGGGGATAAGGGAATGAGGGGGATGATGAGGGGAATGAGGGCATTGCTGAGGGGGATGAGGTGGAATAAGGGGGATGAAGGGGAATGAGGGGGATGAGGGCATTGCTGAGGGGGACGAGGGGGATGAAGGGAATGAGGGGGATGAAGGGGATGAGGGGAATGAAGGGGAATGAGAAGAATGAAGGGGATGAAGTGAATAAAGGGGTTGAGGGGATGAGGGGAATGAGGGGAATGGGGGCATTGCTGAGGGGGATGAGAGGGACGAGGGGGAGGAGGGGAATGAGGGGGATGAAGAGGATGAGGGGAATGAGGGCATTGCTAAGGGGGATGAGGGGTGTGAGTGGAATGAAGGGGATAAGGGGGACGAGGGCATTGCTGAGGGGGATGAGGGACGTGAGTGGAATGAAGGGGATAAG